TGACCCATGCAAGGTTTTTTAAAAATTGGGAACCTACTTTGGATCGATTTGGAAGTAATAGGATCAAATCATAGGTAGGATCATGGAACCGTAAGATCCTGTGAAAAAATATTTTTTTAAAAAATTTGATATTTTATTTATCTATAAACTTCCTGTTGATGAAAATATATGCAAATAGAATAGATGTAGAAAATACAATTGTAACCAAAAATGTAAAGTTCTTCAAGTAAAATGTATGTTTTCTGGCATTATATATTAGTAGATAAAAGTTCAAGTCACTCCGAAATGTATTTTACGTTATGTTTTCGTGTAAAAATTTAAAACTACATATCATTGGTATAAATTCATGAAATTAAATATGAAAGTTTTGAATTACAAATTATCAAGAAATCCCTTAATTCATAATATAACATGTACTCATGATATTATGTCCAAAAACTTGTAGTGATTTAACAATTGTTCTACAAACTCTAGGATTGGAATCGAATTCATAATTTTGAACAGTAAGATCATAGGACACACCTCTTAAAACCATGACGTTTAATTGCGAAATGACCCTTATCTTTGTTTGAAATATTGCATTAAAAGGATGAAAAGGCTAGGCAACACGTATTGTAATTTGACGTGACACACTCGATTACGTGCTATAATCTCATGCCATATATGGAAAGTGGGTAAAGTTAAACCACAAATTATTGCTACTTTTTCTGGGATAATCTAAAGAGCTTCAAGAGCAGCAACCCGGTCAAAGCTGTGCCATGAATCAAATTAGTCATCTTCTTCTCTACATATTGTCGCCACGCCCCTTTTTCTCAGCTAAAGTATTCGTACATGAAGTAGGATTGAATAATAAAGCAAAACATTTGATAGTGGGTTCTACTTTCGATGGCTTTATAATCAGCAGCTCGTGGAACTCAATTAAAACACACACACACAAAAAAAAAAAGGAAGAAAAACAAATGAGTGGAAGAATCTATCATATGGTAGCAACAACTACAAGGACAAAAAACAGTACTGTGTAAATGGCATCTGAAAACAGCGGGCAATCCACCGTCCCATTCCTTTATCTAGTGGGTATAGGATAAAAAGTAAGAGCAGTAAGGTCAGTTGAACAACTGCGCACTAATAGGAACCACTACTGTTATATACTAAATTCTTTGACTTTTTAAAGTACTAATTGCTTTGCTTTTTTAATCCATGCATATAAGTAATGGATTTGTAATTCAATGGACTAGCAACAGTCATCAAGTGCAGTCACAGTCAGCTAACATTACACCTCGCTCCGTTTTGTAATTTTCCTCCTCACTCTAAAACTAGTTAAATCCTGATTCTTGAACAGCTTTACTAATTTTCAAAAGGAGATTAAGATTTTGTCCCGTGGCTAATCCTTTTGTTGGAAAGGCATGACTTCTTTATGCTGGACTTGGTAAGACAGAATTACGTGTTCTTCAGTCTTTTTCTTCTGATAAATGATACTCTTTAAGAAGTTTCCATTTTTTCTTTTTCTTTTTCTTTTTTAGGTTCTTTTCAAAGGGTGTGTTGAGTTTGCAATAATCAGTTCTCGGCCTGAAGAGACTGCCACCTGGTGGCACCGGCGAAAATGCTGTATTACGAATTGTCAACAAAATATAATCACAAGGATTCCGCAATCAGCCTAATAATTAAAAATTATGTTTCATGCCTCCAGTATCATTACGGTTTCTTTTCTAACTAAGGCCGACGGGGTTTTTGTATCATTTTGAAAATCATTAGTTGCCGATCTATGGCTTAAATGAGATCTTGGAAGCTGATTAATTCTCATGGATTAATAGAGAGAGAAGTTATCATATGATGGGCCTGATTATTCATACATTAAGCTCGATTGCAAATTAGTATTCAACATCAACACGCAATATTCAGATTCTGCGTACATGTGTGTAGGAACAGGGAATGCATTGCTGCTGCACATGTTCTTGCTCATTTTGGGCTTAGATTGAAGTCTCGGCTTGTTTGGTGGATAATTTCTCCACTTTCTTTCTTTTGAGTGTTGTTACTGATGACTCCAGTGGATGAAAGTAAGTTTCAATTTCAAACAAAAATAAAATTTGTTTTTTGATGTGAACGTCCATAAAAGTCTGGTTGGTGACATTATTGCCACACGTATTTGACTCATGTTTTTTGCATTCTTCTTCTGGAAGGCGTTTAGGAATCTGGAAAGTTAAAGTGGAAATTTTGCTGGGGCGACTTGGGGAGTTGTAGCTTAAAAGGGGTCCAAGGAGTACCATTTCATGGAAAAGGAAAGCCACAAAATTGTAAAGTCAGTAATGGGCGTTGTGTGGAGGATCAATCATGGGTCTTTGGATTGCAAACCAATCTAACCGCTTGCAAGCGGCTCGAGTCCGAACTCGACTTGATTTGAGCTGCGGTCAATATTGAGTTCGATTCGAGCTCGAGTTGACCAAATCAAATTCGAGTTTGAATTCGAATTCAAAAATACTAAGTTCGTTATCTCGCGAACCGGCTCGAACTCGATTACATATATGTATATATTTTAATAGTAAATTTACATATATATTCCTAATATTTTATTATTTGTTAAGAAAAATTATTATTTTATTTATTTTTAAAAACAAAATAATTATTTTTATTTTTTTAAACTCGAGCTCCAACTCGATTCGAATTTGAGTCGAGCTCAACCTCGAACTTTACATTTTGAGTTTGTCGAGTTCGAGTTCAAGTTCGAGCCTCATAAACATAGATTGAGACTCGGCTCGATTAAATTAAAATTCAATTCAATTTGACTTGTTTGGGTCTCCCGTTGGGCGATTATCAAACTCATCCAACTTTATGGAGTTCACACTATTACTTTTCTATATTTCTTCTCTCTGTCTCTGTTTTTTTAAAAAAAAAAAATTGTTATTCGCAAGTAATCGGATCGGCATGGTTCCTTATTAGATTAGAAACAATTTCTTTGTTTTTCTTTTCCTCGCTGTCCTTGGTTATTCACTTACTCTATTCAGCATTCATACATGCAAAGTGCAAACCAAAACCTTCATTGGATGAGGAGCAAATCGTACAAACTTGAGCATCGCTACTAGATATTCCTCAGCCCAGTTCCATTTCAAAGCCCAGCCCATGGAAGAAAGTCAAAATAAAGTATACAAGAAACCATATAGTTTTGGTTAACGGGTAAACAAAGAGCACAGCCACCAAAAAAAAAAAAAAAAAAGAAAGAAAAGAAGGGCAAAATTTTAACTGTGTCCTCTTTCACTCCGTTTTCTTACTAATGACAACCCAACTGAGTAATTTGCTTATTTCTCCGTCCTCTTCCAACCCTCTCCCTAGGATCTGTAAATGCTTCCCTGTATATGACTGAAAGCGGTCATCTCAGCCCTCCTCGATTTAGTGATTGGTCGAGGTAATCTTTTCGGAACTTATGCCACCTCGGCTCGTTACCTCACCCATGAGATCGACCTCAGTCTTCCCATGGTGGTCTTACCTCGACTCAGCCACCTATCTCCGCCCTTTAATACCTGACATCCCATTGGAAAAGTTGACTTCTACATAATGGGATGATATGATAGTAACGTGACAAAATGACATGACCACTGTTATGTCCTGTCTATTAATCCTAACACTATCCCTGTCAGTCTCAGATCCATGAGAATTGAAACTCATCATTCTTCCCACTGTTTTGTCTACTATAAATACCCTTTCATCCGTAGGAAAGGTATGCATTCAGAGATACACACTTGAGTCTCTTAAATCACTTCTAGTTTACGATTGAATACCCTAACTAATTTGATCGTCGGAGTAAGATCGGGGGACCAAACCCCGTACATTGCAGATTTGACAAGTGAGTTATTTCGACTTGTTCAATCATCCCGAAGTCACTTCTTCAATTTGACTCAGTTCAACCGTTCAAAAATTACCTCGTTAATGAACATAGAAAAGTGATCTCTACTAAGTGAATGTATTCACGATGTATTTCGTTATAGGAGAAAGGAATATGAGATAACAAGTGGTACCCAAAAAAAATTATAATAATAACATGTGGTAAAAAAGTTCAATATCACCGAAAAGTCTTGGTCTCGTGGTTAGAATTAAAGTCTAAAATGTAAAAGTTTAGATTCTAATTTCCTTTCTCCCTCTCTAAATTTCAACCCTCTTAGTAGAAAAAAATTTTAAAAAAAAAGTTCAATACTTGTTCATTAAAATATAAAATATAAATACGTGTCTAGTTCACAGTCAACATCCAACGAGCGTTAAAGATGCGATTATTACATATCTATAATACGTGAGCCCATTGAATCAACCCACGCCGGAGTTGCAGGCTCCTCACATGCCACAAAACTTATGTTTGGGGGAAATGTAAGCCCAGAAACAAATATGGCCCGTAAGGCTTACATCGCCACGGATAGAAAGTAAAAAATGGAAAATCCTGGAATCAGAACAAAATTTTCTCGAGCGAGTTGTATTGGGAACTAACTAATTCAGTGTGGCATAGCCGGGAGTTGGACTACTGGTAAATGTCTGTTGAGTAACCAGATGTTAATGTCGGTCAAGAGCCGTTGGGTAGTAAGACGAGGCAGGACAGACGTAAAAGACCGAGCTGTACTCATTAATGAGACAGAATCTTGGCTGACCATATATTTCTTGATAGACTGGTTTGAAACAAAGTCGGTTTGATTGATTGATGTTCCAATGCATAGTAGTTTTTGCACACACATTTATGTTGATTGAAGATATAGATAGATCCTCCTTGTTGATCACATAAAAGTGAGATTTGCTAGTGTCCCTGCTGGAGAACTACTTTTTGAGAAGTCCTGAAAAATAGATGGATAGATGTTGTACAAACTTACAACAAAAAAAGCGGCAGTTTCATAAAGAGCAAGCAGTAAATGGACATTAAAGCTGAATCTGTAGACTCGATATCAAAATCAGAACTTGCAGCCTTCTATGCTGCTGCTACTACTACTACAGAAAACCGCCAGCAAGTACGATGCAAAGTTTCTCCCAAAATCCACACTACAAACAAGACCATTTTCGAAAAACAGCACCCCTAACATTAAATGCAGGTGAATAGTATTTGTGTGATTCGCCTGTCAACCCCTTTTCTTCTGGCTTCATTTTCCGATGCTAAAATTGCCTGTTTTCAATTCTGCATTGGATACCTGACTCCAGCTGCTAATACTCGCTGTTGTTCCATCTGAATCATGAAGGATATCATGGTTTTAGTTCAAAGTTTTTTGCACTAGCAAAAGAGACTCTCGCTACCCCCCCCCCCCCTCTATTATTGCACTGCTTGAACGATTTTTTTCCCCTTTTTGCAGTCAAACGGAACATATTTGTCATTGGTTGTCAAAGCAGCATATAAATAGTAGGATTGCATGCTTGCTTATTTATTGCAAATTATGGTTAAACAAATACTAAAGTTAGTAGTTTCAACAAAATTTAGAAAATAAGAACCTGAAATCTTCAAAAAGTGATTTAAATGTCTAAGAAAATAATGCCCGGAAAGTTGGTTAGTTGTTAGTTTGACTAGAACAGCAGGTATACTATATATATATATATATACCTGGAAGAGTTCGCGGAGTTTGTTCTTGAGATAACAGTACTCATGTTCTAGCAACTCCAACGCTCTCAAACACCTGAAAAATATATATATATATAAATACCATATCAAGGACGCTGAAAGTTAAAGTACACATGCACTCGTAAACCGATTAATATAAGATAAGAAAATATCTCAGGCTTCATGGTCCAAAAAAGCCAAAATTCAGCTAGTTTCTGACTTGCGAGAAGCACGTCGAGGAAAAGTTGTGTGAATTTGCGAAATGCTGCAGGTAATGTCTAGTACTGTTTAAAGGGAAAAAAACATTTGAAAACTTTCTTTCAGAGCGTTTTTAGAGGGTATGTAAGAATGTGAAGGCGCAAATGCAGAGAGAAGGAAAGGTTAAGAAGTAGAGAGGCAGCGCTGATCTTAGTTTAGTAGTAGTGTTGTTACCCAGCTCTGTTATTCTGCTCAGAAGCAGCGCGAAAGGCGACGCATACAGCTCTGACCCTTTTGGCACCAATGCTTGAGCTGCTTCCTATAAATTGATTTAAATGTATTCCCATCTTCTTGTAATCCGAGAACTCCTTATCCAGCCTGTGTATCATTCATCACCGTATTATTCTTATTCAAGGAAAGATATGTAATAAATCCCTTAAAAATACAAAAAAAAAAAAAAAAAAAGGAACATGAGAGCAGGTTCTTTTTTACAAATGTAACACGGCATTATAACTTTTTATTTGTCCTCTCCAGTCCATGCTAAGTAACAAAGGCCCACAAATATCATTCATAAGCTTTAATGTGCAGGTGCAATTTTGTGGGTTTGATCATGAGGACAAAACACGAGCAAGAAAGAAAAGAGCAGTAGTAGACTGGTAGTGGTTGTGGTGTATATTACAACAATCCTCGAAGATTCCTCAACAGCTTCTCGGACTCGTGGAAATAAATGTTAACAACCTCGTATACGAAGTTCGGAGAGGACTCGTCTTGCAGTTGCTGAAGCTGCAAGAACTGCTCATCGAGCACCCCTTCAGAGAAGAGACCACAATTGCATTTTAGTACTATGCTGATCAAGAATCAAGAGCAAAAGAGAAAAACAAATGCCTGATCAAAGCCAAAAGAAAAAAAAAAAATTTAGGTGAAGAACCTGGTGGAAAAGTAACGCAAGCAAGCGGTTCATGTCTAGTCGTAACCGCTCCGCCCCCAAAACAAGCATCCACAACGGTAGACCCGTTTTGACTGAATTTTTTTTTCCAAAAAAAGAAAAAGAGAGAAACAAAAGGGAGGAGATGATACTTCTGTAACTGGAAGTGGAAGGATGCAAATTAATGGACTTCTCTTTTTTTTTTTTTTCCCTTTTTGGTTGGGGAGGAAGAGGACCTTTTTTTGGGTCGGGGAGGGGGGGGGTGCGGTTGGTACTTTTCAAGGGCTTTTGTGTTGCTTTCTTACTTGAGGAGTAGGACAAAGGACGACAACAACAGCGACTGTGGAGAAGTGGAAGGCTGGTTTGAATCAATTTAAAGGCCGAGATTAAGATTAGAGGTGGGACAGATCGATGGTGGAGGGTATTAGGGACGGGGCGGGGTCTTGACTTGACCCCACTCATTAGAGGCGAAAGAGGACAAATTGTACCTCTTTGTACTCTTGCAGACACGTATCATCATGGCGCGTGCTCTCACCCCTCCCGCTGTCTTCTTCGTACGCTACTAGACTACTTTACTCTCACCCCTTTTTCCCTTTCTTTTTTTTTTTTTTGGGTTCTTTCAGAATTCCTTGAAGCATGACTTTTGCTTACGACTTCCTCCTTATTGATCGTCTTGTTTCTTTAATCATGCAATTGTGAGTTACCCAAATTGCACCAACTTACTTGTCTCAATGCATTGCCAAAAAAAAAAAAATTTTGCTTTATTTTCTTGTTTCATTCTTTAATCATGCAATTGGTAAGTTCTCAAAATTGCACCAACTTACTTATCTCAATGCATTGCCAAAAAAAATTTTTTTGCTTTATTTTGTTGCTTTCATTGGGCTCAATTACAATTAAGGATAAATTGTGACTTGCACGTAATTACAATAAATTTAGGATTTGTTTGGATTGTCACTTTTTTTAAATATTTTTTATGAACGTATTTTTTAATTATCTCTTTATTTTACATATATCAAATCATTACAGATATATATATATATTTTTTTTATAAAAATTTCAGAAAATAGCAATCCAAACGAAGCTCAATGCTCCCCCAGTATGTTATTCTTTAGGAACAGACAGAAAATATCTCTGATTTGCTTGTAACCTTTTATCTCCTGGTGAAAATTTATGAGAGTCTCTTCTGATTTCTTTAGAAGTTCAATGGCATCTTTATTAACAATTGAGTTACGACTAGCTTTGACTAGCATGCGTTCTTGTTCTCATCTTTGATTCTTGTTTGCTAGATCCTATATAAGTAGAAATTACTGATGACTTCTATGTAGCTCTGGTGCCAGAAACAAGCAAGACATTGATGATTGATCGTCTGTTGCATTATTAAAAGGAAAAAAAAAAGCCATTAGTTACAATTCGTTCACATATGGGGAAAGACCATTTAGGAAGAGACGGGTGGTAGCAGTTAAATTAGGAACAAATCGAGGTGAATGTGGGATATCAACCGGACCAGCTGGGACTACGGCCAGACCATACAGAAAACTGCTGGCTGCACCTTACAGATTACAGAATTGAGAGAGGCGCTGGAAGTGTGTGCTTTGTCTTCTTAGCCTCCTGCTGCTGTTGGCCTCTGCTTGTCCAATGCAAAACACCATCACTCGCTACAGGCGGATGGTGGTGGCTGTGACCTCCTCCTTCTGTAGCCCCCCCCTTCCTTCGGGGGGAAGTACTCACCTCCGCGTGCTGTCTACTTTTGCCTGCCAAAGGTGCGGCGTTTGCACACTCCCTCAGCACCTCCAACCCGACAACTCCCTGCGCACCGCTTGTAAACTTGTCAGCTCACATCTTTCTTTCTCTTTACACATAAAAAAAAACCAACACCAACATAAACAACACCAGCACATACCTTTCCTGCATGCTGCCAAAACCATACTACACTCTTCACTTTTCTTTCACTTTTTCCTCTGACTCTTTCTTTCGCATTTTTCATTTTTTAAGTCTTCTCTCAAGAAAAAAACAACCAAGGAAGACCATGCCCCTTGTTGTCCTAACTCCTGACCCAGTCACCCTCATCTTGCTCGCAGGCTATTAGCCTTGAAGTTTGGGCACCAGTTTAGCCCAGTAAACTAGCTCTATGACATTCATTATTCAGTTTTTTTTTTTTTGTTTTAAAGATTTTGTTTTGCTTTAAGGTTACGGGAGCAGTGAATAGTGGCACACACTTGGCAACAAAATGGGAGTGTTGATATCATACAGTGGTAAAAATTGCATGAGGAGGCAGAGCCTGCAAAAGGGTTTGAGGGAATGATGAGATGAGACTTTTCAATGGTTAGGTGGTAGAATTAGGAGCATTGGCACGGGGCATCGTGGAAGCTTCAAGGCTATGAACTCCCCACCCCAAAAAAAAAAAAGGATGATCGCGAATGTATGATGGACCACTTTTTAACCGCATTAATCCTCCATTCGATCAATTGGACAAGAACAATTATCACCATTTTGATTGCTTGGAGAGCTTAAGGTAATTATCACCGTCTTCGTCAAATTCAAGAATCAAACTTGGCTCAGTACTTCTTCTCAATTGGCTACAAAAACGAGATAGTCATGATATACTACGCATACTTGAAGGACTTTCGCTGTACTCTATCCAGTATATATATATATATATATATATATATTTTTTTTTTTTTGGGTGGGGGAGGGGAAGGGACAAACTCTATCCTTTTTTTTTTCGGAGACGATAATTGTTGTATAATCTAATCTATTCTACACTAAGGGAGAAGGGGCGGATTTAAGGAGGCTCAGAGATAACTCGGAGGGAACTGAACCACCATCGGACCAAACGGATGCAAAACACACCCCGCCTGAATTTTTTAAACAAACCACTTAAATGTGACATTTTGATAGGAGGCAAGTGTTCACTAAGTTAAGATGGTGGCCACCAGCATTTGGACAAACTCTATCTGGTCTAGTTAAAAGTGAGATTATGGTAGCTATTCTTGTACTGGAAATTTGAAGAAGATTTACCTAAACCTAATATTGATGACGTACTTCATTTTACCTAAACCACTGTTTTGGAGGTAAATTTTACTTTGCGTCTCCCTTAATGTTCAGTGAATAATCAAACACGCATTGGTTGAAATCTTGCATTAAACTAGTATAACGGTTGTGTTCAAATTAAGGTAGTCCAGAAGAGGATGGGAGTAATTTTTCTTTAGTTTTAGCTGGAGAAACAACAACACTCTGTGGCCTGATTTATACAGCCAGCCTCGAGTTGCTCGCCTGCCTAAGCATGCTTCATGGTTGTGAGTGACGCAAGCAAGAATTGCAGAGATCGAGATCGAGTGTGCATGCAATGACACAAATTATTTACTGTAAATTAAGAGAGTGATACACTTTTTGAAGGCAAAAAAAGTGATTCTCAGTGATTCTCATGAGCTGATTAAACATATGATAATAGGGCTTTGATAGTCATGCTTTTTTGTGCTCCCGTGCTTGGCTCCTGTGGGTATTATTTGTTCGACAATTCCTCCTCAATCAGTAGTAAATTTTTTTTTTTTTGAGCTTCGAAATTCCAAATGTTGGGGAATACATGCTCCCCCTTTTTCTTCTTCGACCCTGAATTATATGTCAAACAACTACTAATCAATTACCTAGCGTGTGACGAGGAGGTTCTTTATTTTACTGTTTTCACTGACTCTGGTGGAATTTGAAATTGAGACCGCCCCATTCATTGCTCGAGACGGTTGCTTATGTAATCAATCATTCAGCTATCAAAATATTCTCTATTTCTTGAATAAGTCGGTTTATAATTATATAGAAAGTAGTTTTCATGTTCTTGAATAAGTTGTCAGCGTACGAATTGTTGAAGCAGAGTGGTGGCTTAAACTTTATATTAAAGAAGTAATGGTCAGGTGTTCGCTTAAATCCGGTTGTTTCCAATAAGATTTTGGCTTGGCATCGTCTTGGGCTTTGCAAGTCCGAAGTCTTTATGGACACTAATAGGAGAGAGTAGTTGTGGAGTGGACACCATGCCTTCGCTCTCAACTTTGGGCCTCAGTTTCCTAACTCCAGATTACGGAAGCTAGTTTACGTCCAAAAATTAAAGAAAATGAATTCTAATAATCTAGCACTACTGCTTGTTTTCTTTCTTTATATCTCTAACACTAGGGATGGCAACAGGACGGATTTGGAACGCGGACTCCTCTTGCCCCCGCCTCCCCGTCCCCGCCCCATTTCCCCCACAGGTCGCGAGTGATGATTTAGTTTTTTTTCCTAAAAGTTTTTATTCAATTGATCACAACTAAATTCAAAGAATAAAATAAAATATGGGTCTGAAAAGTGTTGAAATAACATATCAAGAAAATTAAGAATCTCAATTAGGTTGTATAGATAACACCTAAGAATACTCATAAAGCACGTCCAAGAACATGGTTGTGCCAAATATCAATTAGGAATTTTCTTTGTAAGAAAGAATATTACCACCTCAACAATGAAGCACTCTTGCTTCACAGTGACCAACAAGCATTAGGAATGGCAGCTGCAATTAGATGTCATTGGGGCTCAGAACCAAAAACAAAAAACCTACCTCTTTTTACGTTTAGGGTAAGATTGCTGAAATCTAAAGAATCCAATAGCAGCCAGCTCAAATCAGTGGAACACTTGTTAATCGAAACTTGTTATAAAAATCATGTTCATCTTCATAACTAAAAAACTAGTGCAACCTCACTAATAATTCATTATTATTAGATTATATAATGTATTACATTTATTTATATTAATAAATTGAAGCGAGAACGAAGCGAGGGATGAAGTGGAATGAGGACAGATGAATTTTTCCTCCCCCATTTTAAATGGGACGGGGACCGGGGGGGGGGATGAAAACTTCCCCCATTCCGTTGCCATCCCTACTAACACAAATACTAGTTGATCAAACCATGAATTCATTTCGCTTGCTACACACGTTTTCCAGATTTCTCCGATAAAATGGCCTGTCCACTATTTATTGATGGTTAGATGCATAATTTTTATTCAATGAAAATCTAAAAATGTCACGATCTGCTGTATAGGAAAACAGACAGGTTCATGGTAGACTAGTAGCAGTAAATGGTGACATTCCAAAAACGTGTGGTTTTCTCAAATATGGGACAGTCAAGAAAATCGGCTATTGCTCTTACTAGTAAATACTAGCAAAGAAACTAACCAAAGTCTGTTCGAAGTAATGAACTACAAGTACTTTTAATCTTCAATCGCAAAATTCACCCTCCAATGAATCAATGACAAATCCTGTAATCAATTGTTGAAGGCCATTCTCTGCTTCTGAGATTCGGTCGGTAGCTTAACAGCAGTGGCCAATCCAATCGCTTGAAGTAGCCTCACTGCATACCAAGTCACGTCAATTTGCCACCATTCCAGTCCATGTCTAGCTGAATGTTCGAAAGCATGGTGATTGTTATGCCAGCCCTCTCCAAATGCAAGCAATGCAACCCACCTGTGGTGACCAAATTTTACAAAATATTATTTACTACTAGAAAACAATTTAAAGATACAAAAGAAAAAGATTAATTGATCGGTAACAAGAGAGAGCTTGCAGAACGGGGGAGGAGGAAAAAAAAAAAGTCATTACCAGTTATTCCGGGAAAGATCACCAGTGTTCCAGACCTGATTTCCCCAAACATGGCAAGCTGAATTCACAAACAAGTGATGTGGTATACCCACACGATTCTCACTCCCTGCATTCCCCAAAAAATTGCAAATATCATTAGGTTGGCCTCCCATGTCCTCCCTCACTTTTTGTTCACTCTCTTCACAGCTAACTGAAACGTAACCTCTGTTCTCTTGATGCAGAAAGAACATAAGCATGAATGAATTATCTCGTGCACCTCCCGTTTAGATTGCCACTTTTTGGAGTTTCTTTTTTTTTTTTTTATAGAAAAATGCATTGTAACGATTTGATACATATAAAATAAAAAAAAGTAATCAAAAAACATGTTCAAAAGAAAAATTGCGTTCCAAACAAAAATTTTGCGCTGTGAGAGTGATGTTTGCGCATCACATATTTGTGGCTCTTGGTTTCTGACCACAAAATCAAACACTCACCTTTCCCTTCCACTTGATAGCCTGGGACCAATTGCCTCAACTAGCCTAGTAGTACTGGTCCAGAGGGTTAGTGGCAAGAAGACTAAGCAGAAGCCTAACCCCATGTTAGTGCTGGCCTACCTAGTTTAAACTCTTCTGCAGACTGGATACGCTGTATCACAAATCCATGCACGTTGCACAGAAGTGCTACCTTATACAGAAAGTCTACTGTATAATGGATGATAGCTGGTTCTTTTTAACTCTCTTGACAGGGTGAAATAGATAATTCTCTCCTGCAAAACTACTAAATTGGCTTTATGAAAGAATGCAGAAAACTTTTTCAACTTACCATTCCCCAGACAATATAAGGAAACCCTCCAACCGCATACAAGATAGCTGCAAATGCCATTGGATGGATAATATAAGTGCTTTGGAGGAATTTATAGAACGGCTGCTTCTCCAAATCAACAACATTGGTGGGATTTCCACACTGAAAATAGCGGACCTCGGCGGAATCAGCGAAGAACACAACCAGAAAGGGAAAGAGGAAAAAAAAAAAGTGAAGAAAATGAAGGCAAAAACAAATTTACCCTCTTCACAACAGCATTAGTGTCAAAGAGCCAACTCATGTGACTGAACCAAAATCCTTCAACGCGGGCTGTGAGGATCTTTGTCGGAATCACAAAATTGATGGTGGTATCTATGTGTACTCACCCAGTCAATTGGATTCCCCTGCAAACAGAATTCACACGCATAAAATCTCAATCTTTACCAATAAAACTTTGAAGCTTTCATAGTCTGGCCAGAAAATTACAGAATTTTTAACAGTAACCAATCCAAATTTCAGAACGTGCTTCGCAAAAATCAAACTTTAACTTTAAAGGAAGAAACTCCCATAACGGGATAGGCATCAAACTAACCTGAAGTGCTTGGACACCACAATAGGCAAAGAAATATTCAAGCCACTTAGGAAGTTTGAAACTCCTGTGGGAAAGGTTTCGATGAAAAGAAAGGGTGATACCAAGAGCCCTGTGATCACATACAATCCAACAGCAATCCAAAAAGCACCCCAATTGAATGTAAATGGAGCAAAAAGACTCAAAAAATGCATGGCCGCCACCACCCCAACTGTACCAATGTCCAAAGAATTCCACTTTCTACCCCAATACACATTCCTTTTCCTCTTCACCACCACGTCGGATAGTAAATCCTGCCAATTCTCGATTTTTTCTTCACTTTCTTCCACTGGCGCTGATGCTGCCCTGACAATTGGAATTACTCTCTTTCACTCTTTGTGCACGCAAATACGAAATTTGGAGCGTATATTTGGCATTTTTACTCAATGAATTCAATTCATGAAATATGACTCGTCTTGGCCTTTGATTTGAGCACTGAAGAGGTGCAAAGGAACAGGATTTAGCTCTAGGTGATGGTGTTGCTAAAAAAGCCATCTTTTAGGCCTTGGGATGTTGAATACGGGCAAGAAGGCCCTTGTTTTATTGAGGGGTTTCTCAAAAATTGAGTTATCAAGGTTATTTGGTGTAGGAGCCAGGGAAGATTTTCTGTGGTCAAACCGTTGAGAGACAGAGAGCCAGCTTGGCAAAGGAGATGAGAACTGATAAGGCGGTGGGACTAGGTCATATCCGTATGGCCGAAACTGAGACGTAAGATATTTCCGTGGGTTCACACCCAAAATGCCAATTTTGGGGTTTTGTCCCTTTTTGTTGTTAAAGATATTTCATATTTGTGTGGGCATGGGAAGTGTGTTATGTGGTTCCCTTTTAAAGAAATGCTATCCTCTCTATCTGAAGCCCGTCTCACTTCTCAATCTGTCTTGCCTGTTTCTATGCAAAATGGCAGTGACTGCGGCCGGCTCAGCAGCAACAAGCAGTGCTTCACTCTTTGCTTCTTCCCAGCAAATTGTATCTGCAACACGTTCTGCTTCAAGTAGTAATACCAGCGTATCTGTTGCAAGCACTTATGGTGAGCTATTGCAATCTTTTGATCCTTGCAATGCTAATTTACTGTAGCTTTAATCTTTTATTTAGCATAAGAAAGATTCTTGATCTATACTAGGACAGCTTGTCTATTTTAATTGTCATTACTACAGGTGTAGGATACTGTTTTGATATTTGACCGAACCTAAGACTCTCGTTGATTAACCATATGATTCATAGTGCTCCCACAGCCAAATAGAGCAGCAAATATGCTTGTGTACCTCCGGATTATGCTAGCTATCTAGTCATTGCTGCATAATCATAATTATTTTGGTTTCGGGCTCAGATTATCTGATGCACTAGTGCCTAACTCTGATCAGAAACAGGACACAATGTCAAGGACCGATTAAGGAAGGATTGGCTTTAAATTCAATTTTCCAATTGACCTATGTATCTTATTTCAGTTTCCAACTGTATGGGAGCTTCCTTGAGAAGATGTTTTCCAGTTAAACGGAAGATGGCTAAGATTTCCAGAATTGTTACAGCTGCTGCGTCAGTTGCAGCAAGCCCTGTAGAAGAAGTTACAGAGTGAGTTATTTTACTGAGACATGCTTTGTTTAGGTCCCAAGGAGTCTGCCATGAATCAGTTTATCTTTGAGGTTCGAGTTCCTGATGTAATTCGTCTCAAGCAATAAGAATCAAGATTATCCATGGCTGACTAAATGCATTCTATTCTCCAGCTACAAACTCCCAACATGGGCTGAATTTGACCTTGGAAGAGCTCCAATTTATTGGAAAACTATGAATGGCCTTCCTCCAACTGCTGTATGACCTCAGTCATGTAATATTAACTCTAGTTTATTGATTTGGACGTTCATTTAATCATGCATTTTTACACTTCGCAGGGAGAGAAACTAAAGGTTTTCTACAATCCAGCTGCAAACAAGCTTGTTCCAAATGAAGAATTTGGCATTGCATTTAATGGTATTCTTGCTTAATATCTGAGCTCTGCATTTGACACAAAAACTTTGCTACACTTCAATCCTTCAGCTTCTTGTGTATTGGTCAGAGACAAAGATTAAGGAAGAATATGGTATAAGAGGGGAAGAATGACACTACTCCTTGGATTCTATCTGCATTTAAATGCTAATCTAGATCCACAGTTATAAACATCACAATGAGATAAACCATTTTTACTTAAAGAGTAAATCTTATATACACTGACTGACAGTGTATGCACTATCACGGTTAGATGCACGATACATATACAAAATTTGGGTTTCAAATTCAAATTTAGATTATGTGTCATGCATCCAATAGTGAAAGTATATACACTGTCGGTGTATAGAAAATTAATCTTTTACTTATTAGTGTGTAGAGACATTTCTGCTGCAGGAGGTTTCAATCAGCCAATCATGTGTGGTGGTGAGCCCAGGGCAATGCTTCAGAAAGTTCGAGGCAAAGTTGATCCACCGATCTACACTATCCAGATATGCATCCCAAAGCATGGTACCTTTTAACAAATTCATTCCAAGTTCCCCATAGTTATTTTTCTCCTCTGAGTGGAGCTCATTCTGTTTAGCAATATATTGCAGCTTTGAGTTTGATTTTTTCATTTACAAATGGAACTGAGTGGGATGGTCCATACAGACTGCAAATTCAAGTTCCAAGGCCATGGAGGAATAGACCTATTGAATTTTTCACTGAGGTAATGATTCGCTTGAGTATGCTACATGTGCTAAATCAAAAATCACTGCAAGTCTACATTCTTCAAAGAGCTTAAATATTTCAGTAAAGAAGTTCAGTGCAAGTTTCTTTTGTTTATTTAAATCCTACCTGCAGTTATTTCTTTTCCTATCAGAATAGGATGCTCCAAATGACCATTAAAGTTCATTCAATTGTCAGAGAGTACAAGACATGCATACTGCTAGGTTTATGTTGTCAAGTGTGTCAGAGGAGTTGAAATCATTCTGGTAATTGAACATTTGCCTGCAAAATGGTTGATTTGATTTATTGTGTTCCTAAAGGGCCTTGCACAGGAGCTGAGTAGAGATGGTGCATGCGAAAAAGCAATCTTTCCAGATACAAATGTTGTTGCCACGAGATGTGCTATGATCGGTAACTTATCCGTGGAAGGAGTAAGTAGAATGGTCCTTTCCAGTTTCTGCCGGGTCATGCTGCATATTATATTTGGTCAATCTTGCAAACTTACCTCTGGAAGTGATGTGGTGATGCAGGGAGATCGTTGCAATCTCGATTTTGTGGTTGGATGCACTGATCCTAGTTCTCCCTTATTTAATCCACTTGCTAATGTGGACGATGGCTCTTGCCCTCTTGACTCAGACTCGAGGATTAGCAGCATACATATTGTGTCTGATCCTGATTACAGACGGAGTACCAAGTATGGAGAATGCCTTATTAGCAGTGTTAGTAGAGATCTCCATTCAGTGTATTAATTCTCCTGAGTTTGTCACCTATTGTTAGTTCGTGAATCAGAGTGGTTTCTTCTCACCTTTTTGCTTGTCAATATGGAACTGATAACGCGATCCCAAATGCATGCAGGCTTTTGACAGATCCCACGGTATATTTATATTTGGATTTTCTGATGGCTTCTCAGATCTACTTTTTGCACTATCTGATTGTTTTCATTTCTTGTACCCTCTGACTGTTTGCTATTTGCCTTCACTTTCATAAATGTTTTCTCCAGAGATACTAATCACTCAGCCAATCATTTCGTGCATGCATTAGTGCCAGGATTCAATTTTCTTGCTATCCCCTCTTATCATAAAATCAATTAAAGGTCCAACACGTTCTGCTTCCTCTGGCTGAGAAATATGAACCTACTTGTGAAGTTGCTTTATCGAGGAGTGTCAAAACTAACAGATTATGTGTCTGTTTCCCAATTGCCAAAATCAACTACTACAAGTAAATTAGCTACTGACTGCCTTACTTGTCTTAGTATTTTCTCGATCAAGATTACCTAAACAAACAGATGTTGGCGCTAATTCAACAATTTAGTAGGTGGATCAATTGTAGGCCCTCAATACAGTAGTTAACAATTTCTGCTTTATTGGAGTGGTAACTGTGCCAATGAGCTGCCATTTTGAGAGAAAGAAGGGGGCAAAAAAAAGTGGTTGATCAGGCGTTAGGAATCTTGCGGCTTCAGTAAACCCAGAACTAAAATCTAAACGTAATTATCCCAAAAAAAAAATCTAACGTGCGTGTCTGGTTTCTGGTTTCCGTATCCTACTGCAGAAAACAGTTGACAAAAAAAAAACTGAAAAGGACGGTGGCTATCACTAAACTATCATCTGAATATCTATCGTCGAAGAGAGAATCAGTAGTAAGATCCCCAGCAGGTAATGAAGAAAATTCAATTCCTAGTGTCCATCTGGCACGTATGGACTGAAGAATCGATCATCATGTCATAGCCTCTAAAATCTATGTGATCAGGAAAAGGGCTTCACAAACCAAAAGAGAAGAATTATGTCGATTCAACCCGAAACAGCACTTGACATTTAATATGTGGGGTGCATAAAACGCTTTCAATCTTGACCTGTTTATTTTCCAGATATTTGACATTTCAGAAGCGCGTTTCAATCTTGACCCAAAAAAAAAAAAAAAAAAAAAAAGGGATTCTTGATTCCTGATTATTACTAGCAATTTTCTTTACAGCTCCAAATGATGACTTTACATGGCATAGAGAGCACTATAACCACCACCGGCAGTAATCCCTACAGTGTGCTTTTCTAAGTACTTGCCGGCCAGAGAATCAAACAGTATCCCGGCGCCGACGCCTACAACTAAGTCAATGGTGTAATGACCCCTGGTGCTCAGCAACCTCACCACTTGCAGTACGTTAAGTGCGTCAAATGCCCACGCCATTTCCCATCTCTGCATTCTCTTCATGTTACAGATGCTATCACCGATGCAGCAACATGCCCAGAGTAGAAGAGGAAAAACGATACATTCCCCACCGGGAAATCCACTCCGGAACCCAAAAAATCCTACCGACATATTAAAGACATGCAATTTAAGTTACTGAATTGCGAAAAACAACAGAGCAAAATGGAAAAAGAAATAGCACTTTCATAAAAACTAAAAAAAAAAAAAATTCCTAAAAAGTAGCACCATATTCTAAGCGGTGAAATTCGTTTTTCTTTAACTTATAACCAAAAAACAAACAAAAAAAGTAAAATTCTCTCTCGGGAAATCCAACTAAGAAGTTGGCCTCCGGTGCAGCTGTATTTTTAATTAACAGTAAATAAAAGGCGACAATAAAATGAGATTATAATACTATGATGAGATCGTTGGTGAAATAAATAGGTTGCAGGAACCGAACCTCAGGGACAGGTAGCTGAGTAACGTATCCGAGAACGCCTCTGCATGTGAACATGAACAATGCCGATATCGTAGCCCTAGGCCGCCCTTCCACCAGCCACGTCCACAGGATATACGCCGTTTGCATCCCCACAAACACCTATATATATATAAATATATATATGTATGTATATTAGTACAATTTTGTGTTTAGAATAACATGGAAACTTTTTTTTTTTTTTAAAACCAAGTAGGTAAAACATGCAGCAAAACTGTAGCTTGGAACAAAATGATGTCCTTACTAACTTTTAGCATTCTGAACATCAAATTTACATTGAAATACTAATAAAAACCTGTATTTTCCACTGTTAAAACCGCAATGTTTATGTATTTATGTAATCTGAGATCAAGAACACAGATCAATTGTAGGACTAGTAATTTTAACAACTACCGTGTTGAGGCCAGCAAGAAAATTGTTGAGGCCAGGCCTAGAGGCAAGCAAACGGTTAAGGGGCAGGGTAACAACGAAGCCCAGATCAAACGGCGGAGAAGACGCCGGGATCATGCGAAGGGTATACTCAACTCCCATGAAAAACAACATGCAGGCTGCGAATACACACGGTATAGGGTGGTACCGCACCACACCCAACACATCCTCCGCTTTCCATCTCATGAAATAAGCCTTCTCAAACAACCCACATTTGTCACTAGAATTTATCTTAACTTTTTCCATACCGGACTTCTTCTTGATCATCAGGTTTACGTTGTCGTGGTCGTGGCAGCGGTGATCGTCTTTGGATTCTTTTACGGCGCCGTTGGAATGAGAAAAGCCGTCACGTTTATTAATGTGCTGGCGGTTCCTGGAACGGAGATGGGTTGCGTCTCCGTTCATTGGTGATGGAGTTGGCGTTGCAGAGTGAGAGAGATTACGGAAATGGGCAATTTGCAAGAGTGGGTGGGTTGTTGAACACAATAAATACATGGGGAGATGCTTAGCAGACGGATGACACGAGGAAAGCTTAGATTAAGGATCCCCACCCCACATCAGGAAATGGAAATTTTTTTTTTTTTTTTTTTTTTTTTTTTTTTTTTTTTTTTGAAAAAACGGAGGTGATGGCTGTGATTTGGTCATTTGATGTTAATTTGATGGGGACTAATGCTGTTTGTGATGTAAAATGAAAAGTATTTGTAATAACTAATCCCCTTTGGTTGCCGACTTTTTGATTGGTCGAATTTTTTCTACAGGACAAATCAAAGTTAATAAATGACCGTTTTTGTCACATGGGAGCGCGTGATTGAGTTTCTCGCCTGATTAAGACCGATATTGTAGTTGACAAAAAAAAAAAAAAAGACCGATATTGTATTGTGATAGTATATGAAAGTCGACTACGATACCTGTTGATAATTACTCGATTACGAAATTAGTCGGACTACTCGTGAGCACAACCTTAATATTTTTGTACTATCATCTTGTTTACAATGGTGGGAATAACTCCAATTTTAAATCCACGCTTACTGTACAAATTTTCAATGTTAATAGAACAAAGTCATTAGCGTATTAAAGATGTATAAATTTAAGTTGTAGGAATAAGGATTTAACCTATCCTTTTTTTTAAAACTTCTGTTAATTGTTGGAAATTACAATGCGAGGGCTCTAAAACAACATTCCTTGACATGGTCTTATTGCGGTCTTGTATACTTTGCATCCGAATGCAAGATTAAATCACGGAGTCAAGCATTGAGTAGTGGTGTGCCACTCTGCTATAGCACTAGATGGGGGTATGTGTGCGTGTGTATCTTTTTCTTCTTTATTTTTTTTTCTTTTTAGGAATATATACCAAAAACACAAGTTATCTTTTAAAAATGCGTGCAAGTAAAAAAAAACTCGAGCTCTTAAACTATCACAGTTGTCTACTTTTGCCCTTTGATATATTTTTTATCTCTCACTTGCACCTTTGAAATATTCAAATTGCATAGTTTAAGAACTTCTGGCCATTTTAAATATAATTAAGTTTAGCCGGAGTTGAAGAGCATTTTTGTCTAACTTTAATCAAAAGCGTTGGAAACCTATAAGGCTATAACAAGTATTGAGAGTAGGAGTAGAAACCCTAAGAAGAGCAAACCTTTCATTTTCCTTAAACTCTTCGTTAGGTTTCTTCTTTACAAATTTCTAAGTTCATTGATTTCATACTTGGGTAGTCAAAGTTTCATCAAATTTTTCATGGCCCTCTTAAGTATAAAGCCAATGAATTTGAGAATTTTGTGGAGAAATTTAACGAAGAGTTTAAGAAAAATGAATAGTTTTCTCTCCTCAAGACTTTTACTCCTGCCCTCAATGCGTTTGATTAAGTTTTCGATGCTATTGATTAATATTGGACAAAAATGCTCTCTGATTCCGATTAAACTTATGTCTTAAATAGTCAGAAGTTCTTAAACTATGCACTTTTGATTGTTTAGGGGCAAACCAAAAAGAAAAAAATATATATCAGGGGCTCAAAGTAGACAACTATATGATAGTTTAGAAGCTCCCCGGACTTTGCACTCAAATGCATGCTGATTTTGCCCTTCACACTACATCCTTTAGGGGAGTTCTATTATTCCTTTTGAGTAGTATAGCGGTAAGATTAAATTCACCATTAGATATATAAAATAAGAATTATCAACTCTTAAATTATTTTAAAAGTTTAAATCATCTAATAATGTGACAAGATATAAGTAAATTAAAATCATGAATATCTTGTGATAAGACGTGAGTAGATTAGAATTAGGAGTATCCTATCGGACTGTAATATTTTTTCATCCTTTGAGCCAAAAAAAAAAAAAAGAAAAAACTAGTCAACGAAACAGTTTTCGTGCGAAACCTGACGGCACAGGAAACTCTCAAAGGTCCAAACCATTCAAGCGCCAAGCATTCAAGACTTGCCCTATCCAGATAAAGATGATTCACGAGAATCAAGACATTGCCCAAGACGTACAAAGATAGAACAAGTTTCTCGTACCTATAGCCTGCCTCTAGGGCTTAATTTTTTTAAAAATATATATATATATATATATATATATATATATCTGAAACGATAATTTTTTATAAGTAAATCTTATATATAGACAAATATACATTATTATCATTAAATTTAAATTTAAATTTTACATAATTATCATTTATCTAAATCTGATAGCGTATACATTATCAA